TTTCAATAAAAAGAATTGTTTTATACTTTTTAATTCATTTTGAAAATATTATTAAAACGTGTTCTTTTAAAAAGTTTTTTTTTATTTACCGTAGTTTCTCGAATCTTATCCGCACCTCGATTTTCAAAATGTAATTTTGGTAAAAAAAGTTGGTTTATCAATGTAATCCACATCCGATTGTAATCCGTATTTGATTTTAGAGCATACAAAATTTGTAAAAAGGGTACGGATTAGATTCGAGAAAATACGGTATATTTTTCTTAGGTTTTCAAGTCCGCACGTAGAAATATTTACCTGCGAGACTCTCGTACGAGACGCAAGCCTTCATGCACGAGACTTGAGACGAGACCAATGAAAGTCTCGTCTTGTCTCGCCCGAGTCAGTCCGAGTATCGTCTCGAAAACGAGACGAGACCATGCGAGACTCTCGTGCGAACCACTACCTCCACCAAACAATTATATACCTTTTGTGAATGGAATCAATTTTGTTGTAATATTTGAATATGGGTTACTTCCTCTATATAATCATCCGATAAAGTTGGACACTCCGCCACATCTTTTATCGATATTCTTGTAATATTGGTCGTTGGAGTACTACAGAGCACTCAGTGACGACCATCATGAATACCACGATCCATTGCCCTGCACCAATTTACATAGGTAACAATGAGGTGTATATACTATTTACATGGGGACCTTGAATGTTTCTCAAATGGGACAACAATATCCATTAAGGATATTTATATAAGTAAAAAAAGCTAGAAGCCATTCGTCAATATAGTTCGCGGATCAGCTCTTCTCAGCCACGCAACAGTAGGTTCGTAAAACCTTGCACGTGGGTAGCGCGCGCGCTTTACTGAAAGACATGGCGTACTTCGATAACAGAATTTGGCACGCTCAGAAGTGAGCAACAACAAGCGTAGGATATCCTCACGAACGATTAACACGTGCACTAAGTATAGGAGAAATTTAGCGCACACAAGATCGAGCAGTAACAAGTGTAGGACGCCCTCAGGAACCATTAGTACGCGTTCTATATAATGGAAGAAGTATATAAGTACAGTACCAATAAAAGAAGTGTACAGGTATGGTACAAGTATACCAGTATATAAGCATGGTGTACGTATATACATATATATATCGCCCTGTGGCTAAAAGAAATATAAACATCTCACTGGAGGATTAGCACGTACGAGCTTGATCAATAATAGGCACAAACGCCCTATGGCTGAAAGCACAAGCGCTCTTGGAGGAATAGCGCATACGAGCTCGTATGCGCTATTCCTAATAATAGCGTATTTTTTGTCTAATTTGTGAACTCTTTTGCGGCTGGCTGCATCATCGGCTGAATGTCGACCTGAAACAAAAAAAAACATATATCTATACTGATACAACAATTTAAAAATTTTATTAGGTAGTATTAAATAGATTTTAATTACCATTTGCTAACCACGATCGCACATATTTTTCAGGGTTAAATTGCGTTAGTGGTGGTCCAACGCAGTTTATGAATAACAGTGCAGCAGTTGTTTCCACCGACAACGATGATCGTAATGGTGTTACTATTTCATTCATTGAACTGAAATTCCTCTCACATTCGCTAGTGGATATTGGAATTGATGCAATAACGTTTAAAAGTGGTTTCAAATCATCAGGAATTTCTTCTTTTCCTNCCTTTACTTGATGCATCACATTGTATCGTTATATCTTTTTCAGGGTCGAAATTTTTTAAGACTGGCTCTGTCGTTAATATTTGTTTTAATTTTGTCAAAGCTGATTCGTGTACTGATAACCAGTTAAATTCAGTATCCTTTTTTAGTAATTCCCTTAAAGGCTCAATGATGTTGCTGTAATTCTTTATAAATCCTCTTAAGTAATTTAACATTCCCATTATTCTGTTATTCTTTCATGTTTGTTGGTGCTGCTATTTTATTTATGGCTTTCACTCTATCTATATCCGGTTTTATATATTCTTTACTAAAGACGTGTCCTAAATATTTCATTTTATTTATTTTGTATTGTATTTTATCAGGGTTAAATTTAATATTTATTTTCTTCGCTCTTTCCATAACCAATTTTAAAATTTTATCATGTGTTTGTAAGTCTTTTGTCGCAATTATATATCGTCAAAATATACACAAACATTAGGAATATCTCCAAAATTTTTTTCCACCAACATTTGGAAAAATTCTGGAACACTGATGATTCCAAAAGGCAATCTATTAAAGTTATAACACCCAAAATTAGTCGAAAAGGTTGTCAAATCTTTAGATTTATCCTCCAATTCAACCTGGTAGTACCCATCCTTTAAATCCAATACCGTAAAATATTTCTTCCCAGACAACTTTGAACAAATATCCTCTATAGTTGGAATAGCATAATAATTTCTTTGAATTTCTTTATTTAAGTCTTGAGGGTCTAAAGACAATCTTATTGATCCATTAGGTTTTTCAACAATTACTAAATTATTTATCTATTCCCCGATTTTGTACTAATTATTGTTAATTCTTTAATTCTTGTAACTTTTTCTGTAATCTACTTCTTAATCCTAATGGTAGGACAATGTAACCGGTTGTGGGCCGGGTTTCGTTTTTTGCCCGTAACTTGAATTCAAGTAAAAATTTTTACGACTTTTAGATACCAATGGAAAGCTAAGGGCAGTAGCTAACTAAAAAAAATTTTTTTTTTTAATTTCCCGAAAATTTTTTTTCACAAATTTTGTTAAGAGCTTGTTTTTCGCCAAAAAAAATTTTGTAACCGGTTGTGGGCCACCCCGGAAAATGTACTACAAATGCGAAATTATGAAGAAAAATCACCAAAAAAATATGAAATATCTAAATTTATTCATCAATACAGCCTCTAGTGGCAAAAAACATCAAGAAAATAGCACTTTTTCTAATTAATCATCGTCCTCTTCAGTTTCGCAATTTTTGCATGTAAAATAGCTATTCGTCATAGCGGCGCATTTCAAATGCACAAACCGATCGCAGCCACCGTTGCATTTGATGGAATTGGCTTTCGTTAATTTTGGTGGCAGAAGGTCCAAACAGATAAGACAAATGTCTAAATCTTCTTCGTCAGAAGTCTCCTTCTTCTTGCGTTTGGCCGGCGATTTGGCTGGAGGTGTTGCCTTGCGTTTGGCATTTTTGATGGGCGTTGGAGCAGCTCGCTTTTTTGCTGCTTTTTCATGCAAAGCAGCAACGGTTTCCGGAGACGTTAAAATCGCGCTTTTCATTGGCTTTCGGCCGCGATTTGATGATTTTTTGGGTAAAGCGCCTTGTAAGGGGCCAATTTCATCCAAAAGACAGCTAACAGAAGTCGATCGAGATGACGGTCCAGGTGTTGTGGGCACAACCTCCTCACGTCCAACTAATAGCCCAACCACGATTCGACGCTGATCCTTTTCATCGATGGGCCCCTCGGCGGCAACCTCTGGCTCATTCGGCTCAACAGCTTGAACAAAGTCGGCATCAGAAAAAATGTCTGGATCGTATGGACATATGCCGGTGGCTCTAAAACCAGACTTAATCACTTTAGGTGTCAAAGTCAGATCAAGAGCCTTACACGCCAAGCCAGCAATATGACGTATTTCTAATATCTAGAAACATTTAAAACGAAATTAGTTTAAAATTGGCAAAACAAAACAAGTTTTGAGAAGAGTGTTACCTTGTTTGCATTGTTCTTTTGCCAAGCAGAACACTGAGACTTGTAATAAAACTTCACCGGTCCAAACACAGACACGTCCAACGGTTGTAATCTGTGACTACAGTGCGGTGGTAAAGTGACGATATGAACGCCACTTTCAACGGCCAAGTCAATGGCTTCTAGAGACAAATGTGAACAATGATTGTCCATCAGAAGAATCACCGGCGAGTAGAGCGATGGTTTCGCGAAGGCGATGAAATAGCGCATATAATTAACAAAATCTGGCTGACACATCCAACCTGAATCATTCGCATAACCAGCTGTTCCAGATGAAACATTGTCCAAAAAGGTAGAGTAGAAGTACCGGCTGTACTTGTTAGCCAATTGTAACGAAATTAATATCGGGTATAGCAGCCAAAGCGCTGGATTAAAAGAAAACTATCCTTTTATAACGTTAAGCTTTCGGTCTTTATTTAGGCCTTCATCAGAACATTAAATCTACAATAAATCAAAAAATGAACAATGATAACAAAAAATTTAGACGCAATAAACTTACGGACAGAGCGCCAAAAAAAGTGAGGTTAAAAGCATGTCAACGGTTGAAGACCGCAACAACCAGCAAAAGAACTGGAAAACCAGGCGACGGCGGCGTCAAAAAACCAACGAAAGTCACAAGGCAGGTGAAAACCAAAACACAAGGAGAGGAGAAAACCAAAAACTCCAAGAGCTACAGCAACGCACAAACACGTTAAAAAGACGTACGCCATATTGTCGAAGGACGCGCAAGCGCATAACGGGGTCGATATATCGACAAATTAGCGGGAAATTTAAAGGGACTCAAAAGGACCAAGGTTAAAAGAAAATCCCCGAAACTTCAGGGTTGGGGGGGTAGCCATTGTTGGACAAAAGCTATTTATAAATGATGCTCAAGTTTTGGGTGTCAGTCCTTGAGTTGATCGAGGACTGTTCTTGATTAATATAAACCATTTCAAGGAAAAGCCTTTTTTTATAGTTGGTCTCTTGACAGAGTATCGAGCCCGCATCGAAGTCGAACTTGTGACCCGTGGAAAGGTTGTGGTTAACCAGGGCAGACTTATTATCCCTGTGGTTACGGCAATCCACTTCATGTTGACTGAGGCGTTTCTTTAGATACTGTGAAGTCGTACCCACATATACAGCATTACACACACCACAGGGAATTTTATAAACGACATTGGACTTCAAAGTGGTTGGAGTAGGGTCCTTGAGGTTGGTGAAAAGCTGTCGCATAGTCTATAGTTATATTTGGCAATCTTTACATTGTCAGAATGTAGAATGGAAACCATTTTTTGAGCCAATTGGGGAATAAAAGGCAGGAGCGAGAATCTCAATTCATCGCGAGACGGTACCGGTCTGGTGAGGGAAACATTCATATTTCTGGTAACATTAAACAGGAGCTTGTTAACAAGTGACCTGGGGAAACCATTGTTATAAAACATTTGGCTAAGAGTCCTTAGATTCTTCTCTCGAAGGGATGAGCGGGAGAGCTTAGTGATTCTATCTCCATGGCAGTCACTGTATTGATCTTCTGGTGTATGGGATGGCCAGAGAAATAATTAATAAACCTTCCAGTATGCTGTTCTTTACGGTACCAGTCGATAAGGAGGGCACCGTCAGGTTGCCTGAACAACCGACAATCCAAAAAGGGAACTGAACAGTTAGACTCAGTCTCAACAGTGAATTGAAGACGCACATTATATGCATTGAACACATCAAGAATAGTGGTGACACCATCAGAAGGGACAGCACAAACAATGTCGTCAACATATTTGTATATAAAGGGAGGACTGAAGGGTAGCCCAGACAAGGCTTTAGTGACCAGATCATCCATGACAACCTGTGCCAAAATGGGACTTAGGGAGCTGCCCATGGGAGTACCGAACACCTTTTATCAATTTTACTTAAAAACACAAATAAAACAAAATAAATAATAAACAAAAATGATTTAACAGAAAAACAACTTAACCCTTTCTTTACCAGTGACGTGTATATACGGCAAAGCATAACTTGTCTCTCAGTCCCACTGCCGTATATATACGTTCACCGATGAAATGTCTCTAAACCCTCCGCCTGATAAATATGACACTTATTTCTTTTTTTGCATGCTTCTTGACCCACCGTCACATTTATACGACAGTCTAATTGTGTCTAAAGGCCCAGTGTCGTATTAACACGTTTATAAATACGTGGTATTGGAACCACTGCCGCATATATACCGAAAAATCCCGAAACATCGCAAAGCCTCTAAACGATTGGTTTTAGCAAAACGCTGTTCAGTCGCAGTTATTTCCGTTACGAACAACTAGTACGACGTGAGACACGTTGCAAAAGTACAAGTAAAATGGCGTCAAGTCATCAAGGTCCGCCGCGAAAAAGAAAACGTGTTAAGAGTAATGTTGGTGTATGCGGCCTCACGGATGATGATATAAATAATATTTTGGATAGTTTAGATTCCGATGAAGATCCTTACGTTGATAGTGGAAGTGAGTATCAACCTGAATCAACAGATAGTGAGGCAAGTGGTGAAGATGATGAGAATGACGATTTTTTGTGCCCCGAAAATGAAAGTCTTAGTGAAACAGAGAATAAAATAAATGAGAAGGCGAGCAATAAAAAAAACGAAAGTGAAGCAATGAAAAAGGTAAGAAATGCTTTGGATGAGAATTTTTCTATAGAGTGGAGAAAGCGCCAATTTATGCCTGTAATACATAACTTTGGTGGCGCAGACTCTGGTGCACGATTAGAAAACATGGAAAATCCTTTAAAAGAAATGAATTATTTTCTTTTATTTATGAATGACGAGGTAGTGGAAATTATTATAAGCGAAACCAATAAATATGCTTCAGAACAGACTTGTAATAAAAAAATCATTTGGATCCCAATTACTAAAGAAGATTTTTTCAATTTTATTGCCGTACTCCTACTTGCTGCTCGCCATAGAAAAAATAAACTTGTGGAAAATTGGTCGACCGATGAATTACTTCACACTCCGATATTTGGGAAAGTGATGTCAAGAAACCGCTTTCAAATGATATTGCGTATGTTACATTTCGCAGATAATGCTGAACAAATTCAAGGTGACTCTTTCCATAAGTTACGACGAGTTTTCGAAAAAATTAAAACTTCATTTGCCCATAACTTTTCGCCGTTCCAGAACTTAGTAATTGACGAGAGCTTAGTACTTTTCAAAGGGAGGCTGCTCTTCAAACAATTTATAAAAACAAAACGCCATCGTTTTGGCATAAAACTATTTCTGTTGTGCGATTGTGAGACAGGATATGTTCTAAATTTTATCGTATATACAGGCAAGCAAACAGAAATAGAGCTATATCAAGATCTGGGAGTGTCAGGATCAGTTGTAACAACACTAATACAACCTTATTTGGATAAAGGGCACTCTCTTTTTACAGATAATTGGTATACCTCGCCAACACTTTCTACCTACTTATTTCAGCACAAAACGAACACATGCGGTACAGTTAGGACAAATAGAAAGCAAATGCCAAATTTATCAGGTAATTTGAAGAAGGGTGAGACAACATCGATGGCCAGTGACAATATTCTAGCAGTCAGATGGAAAGATCGCCGGGAAGTTAACATGCTGACAACTTTTCACAAAGACCAAATGATACAGTTGAATAAGAAAGACCGGAACACAGGAGAATTTGTGAAAAAACCCGAATGTGTAGTCCACTACAACCAAAATATGGGAGCAGTTGACAGGACTGATATGATGCTCAGTTCTACAGAATGCGTTAGAAAAACCTTGAAGTGGTACAAGAAGTTGTTCTTCCACATTCTCGATTTATGTGTTTTGAATAGTCATGCACTATTCCTAACCCAACATCCAGAGAAGTTGGCACTAGCAGATTTTCAATTGAGCCTTACTCGACAGTTGCTTGAGAGGTAGGTAATTCTGGTTTTAAATTTGTCATAAGTACAAACATTTTTTTGTTACAGATACAATATACCAAAAACCATACAAACCAAGTTCACTCCAACAAATCTTCAGCGCCTTACTGCACGGCATTTTCCGACTACCGTACCAAATAATAAAGTTCGAAGATGTATTGTTCGTTCACAATCTAAAATTCGCGACAAAAAGAAGAGACGAGATTCCAGATATATGTGCGGAGAATGCAACGTGGGATTGTGTGTTTCTCCCTGTTTTGGTGAATATCACACAAAAGAAGTTTACTAAAAAGTTATATTTTTAGAAAATATGTTCTTATATTATGTAAGCCATACTAATATAAATTATTTGCTGTTAATAAAATTTCTAATAAGTTATTTCTCATTGCTTTTGTCCAAATTTTGATATGCCGTATATATACGTCACTGGGATTGACGGCACTTCAAAAAATCCGGGAATAGAGACATTGCAATTGCATTTGTGCATGGTAAAGAAAGGGTTAAACAATAATAGAAACAAAAATTTGTTAAACACTTATAATTTATAAAAATTGTTGAAAATGGCCACCGTTTTCTCTCAAGCATAAATTTATTCTTCGGCGAAAATTGAAATCCACTCTTTCTAATAATTGACGATTATTCCTTATGCTATTACATTTCTCCGTATTGCGATGCCACAATGCGATGATTGTGACGCAAATGAAGAAGAATATACAGATTCTTTTAGCATTCCCCAAAGAAAATAATCACATTTATTTAAGTCTGGTGACCTCGGGGGCCAAAGTAGTGGGCAATTATTTCCACGTCCTATCCATTTATTTGGATACTGGCGATTCAAAAAATCCCTCACAATAATACTAAAATGAGGCGGTGCTCCATCATGCATGAACCAGTGTTGCCGCCTGAGTTGTAGTGGTACCTCGTCAAACAAATCTGGCAGAGTGTTTTGGAGAAATTCCAAATAATTTTCGCCATTTAATCTATTTGGTAAAATAACCGGACCAATTAGGTAGCGGTCAATTATACCAATCCAAACATTTAACTTAAACTCCCGTTGGAAGTGACGTGGAACTAATAAATGTAGGTTTACATCACAATATTGATGGTAATTATGTAAGTTTGTAATGCCCCTGCGGGTAAAACAAGCCTCGTCGGTGAAGAGAATTTTCTTTTGAAAATGAACATTTTGATCTAAAATAAGTCCACAAAAAGTTACTCGCTTAAGTAAATCTTCAGGCAACAACTCCTGTACCTTTTGAATATTGTACGGGTGAAGTAGGTTGCGCCTAAGAAGTCGGTGTATAGAACTTTGCGATATGCCAGTTTGTTTCTTGGTTCACCTTCAACTATGTTTAAAACAAGTTCTTCATCTTGGGCCCTAATCGCACTAACACCCTCGCGAGTATTACTGAAAAACTTGCCCGTTTCTCGAGCCCGTCTTTCAACATTGGAAAATGTTTCTCTATTGGGGATCACGCGATTAGGATATTTTCTCCTATATTCTTCAACACTCCTTCTGCAGTTTCCTTCACAGAAACCTAGCACTAACAACATGTCCACTTGTTCGCTAAATGAAAATTTTCCGGACATTTTCAAAACAAACAGTAAGCAATAACTAAAAAATCAACTAACGCAAATAATTTCGAATTTTCGCTGATTTTAAGTAATATTAACGAAATACGTGTCTTTAGTTATTTGATTTTTTTATGAAAACGACAAAGTTTTTTAAAAAATAATAAGGATAAAAAAAGTTTTAGAATTAAATTCCACATTAAATGAGGTAATAATGTATTAAATCCGCCAAACGGCTAAAAAAGTCTGTTAAAATTTACGGTACCATCACCCATAATCAACCCTTTGAATTGCTTCAATTGATCTCAATTTGCTACCAATTAATACCCTTGGTACACTCATAACGTATACCAAATTTGGTATTTCTAACTTACTGTATTACGAAGATATTGAATGTTTTAAAAATTTAACACTCAACTTTGAAGGCCTATAACTCCTCAGGGATACAACTTGGTATCCCTGAGGAAAGTTGCGTTAAATCACCTTAATTTATTGTCCTCTACATGTCCCTGCTCTGTGTCGGTTCTTATGTGAATCACCCTGTATATAAACAAAAAGGAAGTGATTTCGGATACACTTTAAAGTATTAAATGTATATTTTTTTTGTTTTGTTACCCTGTCCAACGGCGTTAAATACGCGGATTTTTGTTGTTGTTTTCATTTTTTTGTGTTTGGAACCGGGACTTGCCCTAAAAATCGGCAAAGCTTTCTTATTGAGCTTGAGTCAAATAAGTGGCGCCCAACCCACTTCCTGGGAATTGTTTTTTTTTTATTTGTGACGTTTTATCAGTCCTGATTCCACATACAAAATTTTGGTTTTCAATTTTTTTTCTTTTTTAACGTTGCAATATTTACCTTTAATATTCTTTTGTTCATCATTTTTCTTTATTGTTTTATTAACTTCAACATTTTTCATATTTTCCACATGAGATTTCGTAATTTCAGCAGTTCGACATTCTATTTCAGCTTTTTCAAGAGTCAAACCCTCACGACTTAATAACATTTCTTGCAAACCTTTATTTGATACACCTAGAACAATTCGATCTCTAATCAGAGAATCTTTCTGATCTCCAAATTCGCATGACATTGATAATTTCTTCAATTCCGTAACAAAATGATCAAATGTTTCCATCTCTTCTTGTTTTCTATTAAAAAATTTGAATCTCTCATATATTATGTTTTTTCTCGGAGTTGTATAAGCCTCAAAGGCATCCACAACCTTCCTGTATATTTTTTTCTTTCTTCATCCGATAACCGTAACGTATTAAATACTTGCACAGCATATTTCCTCTCTAATAATATTTAAAAGTATGGCAACTTTCACTTTATCTGATTTCCCGTCTTTTCCTGTTGCCATCATATAAATTTCGAAATTTTGCTTAAACTTTTTAAAATGTTGGCTAATGTTGCCTTCGAGCACTAGGCCACATGGAATTCTAGCGTTTTCCATTTTAAAATTTATTTATAACACTTTATTCTTCTTGAACATATATCTTCTAGTATGACTGCGCCATGTTTTATATATTTGATATTTAGTATTAATATTTTTTAGTAACACTTAAAATAAAAAACACCTAGTCACGATAACCGTTTATTTCATAACCTATAGCTAAAACTCTCTTTACATGGGTGTCTCTCATACAGGTGTCTCAGCGAGACCGGTCATTAGACGTTTCTGGGGTTCTGGCGAAAATAAAAATTTGAGAATTCAGACTTAAGTATTATCAATTACGATCTCTTCGACTAAAATATTTTCAGATTTGCTCTTCCGGTTATATCGGAAGTCGCTACCTACTTTATTTTTTCTAAAATAGAACACCCTGTATATTTTTACATATTTGGATTTGTCTGTTTTCAAGGTTTGTAAATAACTTTACTTTTTGTAATTTGATTCAACCGTTCTCGAGTTATTCGAATTTTTCTAGAAAAATCTGCTCCAGCAGACATTTGTTCAAAAATCAGAGAACACTGGTTTTTTGAGTTCAAAATTCCAAGAAAAAGGTAGAACATACAAATGCCGAAGAGGGAGTTGACGATGAAGAAAAAAATGATAAACCCAACAAGAGGTTAAGAAAAGTCAAATATGTAGAAGATGCTATTTGGAACTGGGTTACAATTCTGCCAGGATTCTGTCGCAACCAAAGTAGAATTTCTTGTCCGTAATAAGTTTGCAAGGGTCGAAAAAATCCCACGTCCAGGGGCTGGACATGATGGGAACAGTGGACAGGAAAGCAAAATATTACAATTCCGTTTTGTTTTGCATACTGTAAGGCTTCAAAGCTTTTGTGGCTACTATGACCATCTAATAATAACAAAATAATATTTTCTACAGACGCTTTTGTGTATCTTCTTTGTGTTTTGTAATATAAATTAAATAAAAACAATACTTTTCTTGGTCTTTATATTTACTGTCTAACCGGTTGCGGCTTACGCCTTCATCAGTGACATTAATAATACAACACTAGATTTTAGCAACATATTAAATCCATTCTGTTGCTGATATATAGGCTTATCACAAGTATACAAGTTAAAAATTATGAAGTATAAACACATTAAAATCCACGTTAAAAGTTAAAATTTTACAATAAAAATATAAATCAACACTACTATACTCGGATTGACGGGCACTTATTATATGAGCGTATTAATCTTTGTAAAAAAAAATGTGCTACAAATCCAGTAAAACCGTAATCGTCGAACAATTTCCAAACGAAAAATTAATAGATGCCGCCAAATACGAATACAAATCGACCCAAAATTCTACGCAACAACAATTTCGAAATGTCGACTTTTTATATAAGTCGTTATATATTCGTTTTCAACATCCACACACTGCAAAGGTTGGTCTTAAAAGAGGAAGAATCAACTCGTGCACGCGAGTTAAGGTCCTTTCAGTAAAACCAAAGTTTTTAAAAAGAAACTTTAAACTAATTTATTCAAACGACAGTGACAATGCGACGGATAAAAACTAACTTAACTTAAAACCCCTTCTTTAATGAGATGTCTGGTGGTGCGACATTCTTCCTTCATTTCCAGGAATTTAACATAGATGATGCTATAAAACTCCTCCACCCCTTTTGGATTCTCCTGAATCTCAGAATACTTTCTCTGGTTTCTATTGTATACCCTGCATTTGTTGTAGGTTAAAATAGTAACACATACGATACAGAAGAATGTCAATAGACCAAGAGTTACATTATTGATTAACATATTATTTGTTAGAGGAGATATTTTTACATAATTTTCCTGAACAAGGTTACTTATATTTTTAAAACGATATAAGGACGTTGTGCAACCCCTACATTTCCTAATATTAATTTTGGAATAAGGTTTTGCTCTAGCTTAACATTTTTAAAATAATTTTGAAGAATAATATTATCAATGTTATATTTACAATTATTAATATGATCTAATCGATACGTTCCTCTTAATCGGAGATTTCTATTATATTTTCCACAGATTTCTTTTACTTCTTTTATTTGTGGGGTTAACGATTATAAAATAATAGAGACGTTACCCTAGTCTCTATTATTTTATAATCGTTAATTTCTACTTCAAAAAACTTACAATTTGTGAGATTGCCGTGCGTTATAATTTCAAATTCGCAATTGGTTTTATCATAGCGTGGAACGCTGATTGTAACATAAATATTCATTTTGTCTCAAGTGATGACATTGGCCATCCATTAGAAACTAAACATTATCGTTAGTAGCGATGTATCTAGAGGAGGGTTCTATCTCAACTTACGCACCATTAAGTGGTGTTGGCAGCGGATTTAATTCAAAATACTGATATTCTTCATTCGT